AGCTTAGAACAAGCAGATAGAAACAAGATTATTAAAAAGAAGAATGCAATATGGATAATGAAGATTAAGGACCTGGTTAAGACAAAAAACATTTAGATAGATCTAATTAAAGTTAAAAGTCATAGTAAAGATAAGTAGAATGATAGAGCCAATAGTTTAGCAAAGAAAAGAACAATAAGTAAGAAAATTATACAGGCTGAAAAAATTAGTTGTAAAAAGATAGAGTACTGTCTAGAGTGGGAAAACAGATGAACTGGCATATTAGCCAGACTGCTTTGCAAATTAGTAATGAATATAAGAATAGCAGCAGAGTAGAAAGAAACAAGAGCAGTTAAAAGTTTAGAGCCAGAAGCAGAAATTACAATCTATGATTAGACTTATTTGTAGAAAAAGCTAAAGATGACCAAGGGAATACATTGCACAACAAGAAGAAGTAGTGCAAGAAGAAGTGCTTTTATTAAGTGCATAATAGATAAGCTTCTAATCTTAAAAGAACTCAACAGAAGAAGGCCTGATATATACACAATAGTAGAATGCCAAGTATGCCAAGAAAAAGTAAAAGAAACACAAGCACATTTGGCAGCATGCAAGGGGCAAAAAAATCTCTGGAAGAGAATTCAAAAGATAACCATTGCAACAGCATGGAAGAAACTAAAAGAAGAAGAAAAGATCTGAATTCCTCCACACGTGCTATATATGGTGCTCTTTGGAAAAACAGAAACGGAAGAAGTCAAAATTAGAGAAGCACTAATAAAAGACCTAATCCCAAAAGAAACACAAGATAAACTGGTACAGCTCTTAAATTCAAAATCAAGACAGCAATTTGTAAATGCAATAGCAATAACAGCCTGAGATATATTTTACGAACAAGTATGGAGAATATGTTGTAAAAAAATTATCGAATGAGAGAAAAAGATAGGAATAACAGGTAAAACTAAAAAGAAAAAAAATGAAAAGCTGAAGAAACTGAGAAAACGAGAAAAGACAAATCAAGAAAGAATAAAAAGAAAAAAAGAAGAAAGTTGAGAAAGAAGTAATAAAGACAATGTTGAGGCTTGTCATGGAAGAGAGAAGACCCTTCTATTATGGACTTTAAGTAGTCAGACAAGCAGCTTACTTCTGCTTGAAGTAATATAGCAGGTTGCACTTAGGTACCAGTAAGGTGGCCAGGCGATGCTAAACTTAGATATTAGAGATATTTATGTAGTTACAAATGTAATTTCAAAAAACTTAATAAAGTACTAGTGTGACTACTTATAGAAAAAAAAAAAAAATATATATATATATATATAATTGAAAACCTGATGACAGGTTTTGCCTAACCATTCTAATTTTACCCAAAAATCAGTTACATATCAGAATTTAAAATTAAACATCAGTACTTAATAACTCAAATAGCACTAATGACTTATCGATAAATATATATATATTTCAATGAGCTGTTGCTCACTTTCTTGAAGTTATTTTTCTAAAATACCATTTCACTGAAGTTATAATACCAACAATCTATTTTACTAATAGGGCAGAAATAGGTCTATATCATTTCACCGAATATTAATTAATCGACAAGTTTATTTCATTACTAGTTTATTTTATTGACAGTTATTTTATTAACAAAGTAATTCTAGTCATTGTCATTAGAGTCAGGTTTAGGATTAGAATTAAAGTAAGTGCAATTTTTATAAAACCTGTCAGTGAAATAAGTTGTCAGTGAAATAGTTGTTAGTGAAATAAACTTGTTAGTTAATTAGTTTTCAGTAAAATAATACAAATCTATTTCTGTCCTGTTAGTAAAATAGATTTTTGGTATTATAACTTCAGTGAAGTGGTATTTCAGAAAAATAGATTTCAGGAAGTTAACCCAGAACCATTTAATGAAGCAATTTACAAATTGCATTTTAATATATATATTTATTTTTTTTATTAACATTGCATCTATTAATTTATAATATAATAAAAATAAAAATTTTTGGCAATAAAAATATTCTTTTCTTATATACAAGTATCTTAGTTAATTTTTTTAATAAATAATTATTTCAACAATTAGTCTGTCAAAATCAATTTTCTATAGTTAGCAAAATTAATTTTTATAAGTAGTGAAATTATTGTCAAGATTATCATAAAATCCAGACATGTGTATCCTAAGTATTTTTATTACCAAATTTTGTACCTGGGGTATCTTTATATAATTTTTAGGTGATGCTTGGTTCGTGGGTTTTCTCTTGATGGCACTCAATTGATAGAGTTAGGTATGTATCTGCATAATATAATAACAAAATTTATAAGCTCATTGTAATCATATTAAAAAAGTTATATATATTAAAAAAGTTATATATATTAAAAAAGTTATATATGTGTGTAGTTTAAAAGTTAATATAATAAACATTATTAATTCTAATTTATTTATTACTGAAGTCGAGTTAATATTTAAATAAAACTTAGATCCAATATATAGTATAACAAATATATAGAAGACAGGTTTTATTGAGTTTCATACAAGTCACTCTTGTTATAATGAAGTAATCAGGCTAAGAAAAAAAAACTTCTCTATAGCTTATATTGAGAGAATATTATATAAACTTTATTATATTGAGAGAAAAGTTAATAATAATGATAGCAAATTTTAAAAAAATTCTTTACTATATTAAGATTTTTACTATATCGAGAGTTTATTATAATGAGAGTAACTTGTAATTATAATTAGAAAAATAATGTTAACTATCATTAAAACTATGCTACTATTAGTGATAGGAAAAATGCATATTTTAAAATAACATGTGCATAAATATGCATTAATGCACACGAAATGTTTTATGCACATGATATCACATGATAAAAAATAGGCAAAAAAAAAATTTGATCAAAAGAAGAAAAATCTTAATAGAATAAAATATACATGTTTCTGCAATTATACGCACATATGAAACTCATTTCTAACTACTATTCTTATATAATTATCTAAATGTGTTATTTTTCTAATATAAATATTATTAGACTTATTCAACTTATTCTCTGAGAGGTGTCAGAAAAGTATCACTTATATATATTTTTTTTGTTCGATATTTCTCTTGCTACTGTATTATCCAAAATAAGGCCCCAGAATAGAATTAATACTTAGGTACTAAGAAACTTGTAGGTTGCTCAATAAACTTATATGTGTTTTTATAATAAGATATCAGTAATGAGAAACAAATACAGTAATGCCTGATGCAAAAATTTATAATAGTATTATACTATTTCATAAATTATTATTTTATTCCAAAATATAATACTGATTATAAATTGAAATTTATTTTAAACTAAAAACTAATTTAAATTCACAATAAAAAATATTTATAAACTTACACAGTACATTGTAATAAATTTATCTAATTATTTAATTTTTTTTCAATATCAATACCTAATAATTTTTTTTTTCAATATTCACTAGTTCTTGAGCATGAAGATTAGCTAACTTTGCTTGTTTTTCAATTTCTAAAATTTTTTTCAATGTTAAAATTCATAATCTATTAATTTAAGCTTTCTTAATTTTTCTTTTTTAGCAATTTCAATATCAAGATTATTCAATTTTTTATTGCTTGTTGTAATAATGTTGGAATTTGGTAAGCTTCATTTGTTTGCAAGATTATCTTTTTTATATTTTTGGTTTTCTAAAAATATATATATTATTAAATATAATATATATTTAATTAAATATAGTCTCTCTCTCATATATTATTACTAACACTCAAATCTAGGTGAGCCTTGGCTACTCTTGTAGGTTTAGGTCGCAGATTATATGTCTGAGTCTTTATTCTTCATATGTAATTTAAAAGCAAGCTTTTCTTTGTAAAAACTTCAATTGAATTTCAATAAAGTTAAAGGCATGGCCTCACCATTAATATTAAAAAAAAAAAAAAAAAAATTAAATATAGTAATACTAAATCACATCAGTAGTATTCAATACCACATATTTTTTAATAATTTTTCTTATAAATTTAGGGTAAAGATTCTAATTAAAGAAATATTCTAAATTTTAGTTGAGGTGCTAAACATTTTTACTTATTATAGCTAGCATTGGCTATTTGGTTAGTCTTCAAGATATAGAAATTATGATGTTAAACACTACTAATGTGATTTAGTAAAACTGATCAAATTAATAATATATATAGTAATAGTCATTAATTTACCTAATCGTTTAATTGATTTAGTAGCTCTAGCTATAGGACCTGATGAGTGACCAGTTTTTGAAACATTGTAGTTACTTTGATATCTACATGTTGTGAAATGACATTCATCTAATCGTTTTTTTCTATATTAATATATGTATTTTAAAAAATTTTAGTATATAAATTTTTAATTAATAGAAAAAAAATAAAAAATAAATTTAAACTTTTTAATTGCTAGCAATAAACTCATTTGAATGCCTTCTTGATTAGCATTAGCATGAGCAGACTTAGCAATATTCATATTTTTTTCAGCATTACACCAATCTTCTTCAATAATATTTGAGTAATGATAATCTAAAAATGCTAATCACCATAATTTTGAATAATAATTTTTTCACTCTGTAATTTATAAAATAAAATATTATATTATGCTATAATGCTATTAACATAATATATATAGTTGACCTCTTATAAATGCTATTAATAAAAAAATATGTATATATACATAAATACTGTAAACATATAATTAAATCTTAATTACTGTAAATGTGCATATATAAGGCCTAGGTCTAGTTTATTCTACTAATTTTTAAGTCCTATCTAGTATATGTTCAGATTATATTATAAAAAAAAAAAATTTAAAATGTACTTATAATAAGCAGTCTAGCTATTTAACAAAAAATTATATTTCATTAATAAAGTTTTGTGGTTTAGAGCTAGGTTTTAACTATAGTGAATTTACTATTTTATATATACACATTTACAGTATATATATAATATAATATAATAAACTAATATATAATGCATCATCTTTATTTGATTCAGAAAATTCTTGAAATATAGTATCTATGCATTCTTTATCAGCTACTAATATTTCATACATTAGATTTTTTAAATCACTTAATAGCTTTGATTTAAAAATATTTCTATTAAAAAAAACTATTAAATTTATTTTAAAATAATTTTTAATTATATGTAAAATTTTTAAAATCTATCTACCTTTTGTAATGTACTCGACATGACTTAAAAATATAAGTCAAATGAGTTTCCTAGTCTTTTGTTTAGTCTAAATCTGCAAGTGCTAATATAAGACCTTTTGCTTGGATATTATCCAAATCTCCAAAAATAACTCTTTAACCATTATTGTAAATATGTCTAATTTGAACTTCTTGTTAACAAAGTTCACTAATAGTTTCAATCACAGCTTTAAACATACATTTGTAAGTACTTGCAGTTGAAATATTTATAAAAATCTATGCATAGATAAGTACTAAAATATTACAATTAGTATGTTCTAACATAGTTATATATAAATAAATTACTTTATTCTAATTTTACTTAACTAATATTATGATTAATATTGAATTCATTAAATTCAAGTTCATTAATTTTTCTATGAACTCATTTAAAAGTTAAGTTAACTTGAAAATATTGGGCATTCAGAAGCTTAAATGCCATATCCTTATTCATACATAGTATAAGAGCATGCCTATTTTCAAAAAATGCTATATATAAATATATATATATTTTTTTTGATATTAAGGTGACCTCTTTGGTCTTTTGACTTTTATTAATTACTTGTTGACATTGTGGTTCAGTGAACCACTACAGGAGAGCATACAATTGGCTACACATATAACTTTTCTATATTACCTATTTAAGGAGTCCGCCTGAAGGTTCCCCACCAATTGCTGTATCTAACACCCCTGCTTAGATGTTCTACTTTAAACTCTCTGAACCTGTAACCTGTATTAACATCACTGGTCATCTCAGATGTACCAGATCATTGTCCTCAACCTTAGGACTAATTTATACTCGAGGTAAACCCTCCAGAGCCTTCTGTACCCATTTTTACAGCTGACCTAAGTATCGCTATGGCAAAACTAACACTTGCTGTTAGGGCTGACTATTAAACCACTATGCTCTTGTAGAGTTCACACAAACCTTAGCATCTACTTTACAGCATATTCGAAATACTTTAGTATACCTCTGCCAGTTCACCAAACTCCCAATCCAGATAGCCTAGTAGAACTTACAACTGGTCTATTGGTAGGAGCCTGCAAATTGCCTATTTTTGAGGCCCGGCCCGGCCTGCAATTAGGGTTAAAAATTTTTTTTAGGCCCGGCCCAGCCCGCATTTAGGGTTACCATTTTTTTGCCAGCCCAGCTCGGCCCGCATATGTCAAATTTTTTCTTCAGCCCGGCCTGGCCCGACTCAGCCCGCAAAAATTTCTTATATAATTTTACAAATTTTTAGACCCACACTGGCCCGCAATTATAAAATTTTGCAAATTTTTCAGCCCGGCCCGGCCCGCAATTATAAAATTTTGCTTCAGGCCCAGCCCGGCCCGCAAAAATTTGTGGGCCGGGCCGGGCTGTGGGACCCAACGCAGACCTCTATCCATTGGTATATCAGGTCGGCCTGATATCCTTTTTCTTCGGCTCAGTTCGGCGGCCTGGTTGGTGGTACCTTCCACCTAGAGGTTTTTGCTCATTCGGCTACTTCAACCTTGGTATCCGTTTCATAAGGCTAGTCTTTACAGTAGAGCTGTCGAAGATCTGGCTACCTCTCTACTCAGATCTTCCCAAATGGACTTCTTGTTACCCAATTTCAACAGATTTATATGGCTACAAAGACTTAGCTAGTGTATATACCGCCTATTGCCAGTTTGCATTCTTTCGTGTAACCACAACCTTGTTCCAAAGGACAATGTCATGTGACCTGTTACACAAATGCCCCATAACCTACCAGTTATGCTGGTGTGACCGCCATTACAGATATCCTAACCCAATCATTAGTAACAGTTGCCATAATACAAATATTACATAGGTGATTATCCAAATTTTTGCTGTCGATGAGATTTGAACACTCAACCTACCACTTGGAGGGTTGACAACCTGACCACTTCACTAGGTCGCCACACCTCCTTTATTAACCACTTTTACAAATATTATTTTGATATATTTAAAACTGCATTTTATATTTTTTTTAAAAAAAATTTTAAAGAAAAAGGATGTAATAAATTTTACCAAAATGTAGCATATAGCTTTGAAATAAATTATAAAAATTTTTAGAAAAAAAATAAATTGTAAAATGTATCAAATTAGAAAAAAAGTTAAAATAAAAAAACTTTATTACATAACCTAAAACCAAAAAAAGTATAAATTAAATTATTAAGTATTTAAAAATTTTTATAAAATATAAAAAGAGTTTGAAAACAAAAGAATTTAATAAAATGATCTTGCTTTTGTTTTTAAAAAGCTCTCTAAATCTACAATAACTTATGAAATTTTAAACTTCATTTTTTGTAATTTTTATTTTTTGTAATCTTGTAAACTTTTTCATTTTATTATAATTATTTCTAAATTAAACTTACATAAATTAATTTAAAACACAAATTTATTAAATAATTAGTTAAAGTAAATATGCTTTTATCTCTTTCTGAAATATATAATACTGTTAATAAACTTTTCAAAACTTATAAAAATTCACAAATTTTTAGAATTATACTCTAGTTAAAAAAAGAATTTAAAGAGATAAATATAGTAAATTAAAAAATATAATAATATATTATAACTAAGATAGTGTTTATAATAATTTTTTGAGTTTTATTCAAGAAACGAATAATAAAAAAAAGCACTAGGTTAATAAATTTTTTCTTTAAATTATATGCAACTTGATGCAATAACTGGTAGTATTTGTAAGTTTATAATACTAAATATAATTATAGTTTTACAAAAAATATATTAGAATATTTTATTGTCTATTGACTAACAAAGAAACAAATAGAAAGATGAATAAATTGATAGTGCAGTGGTTAGCATTTTTGAGTCTTAATTACAAGGTTGTGAGTTCAAGTTTAGAAGGTAACAAAAACTTTACCAAGACCATGATTGAAAAAGATCTGCAGAAGATTTCTATTTAAAAAGCAAAAACAAAATTTATATAAAAAAGAATGCAGTGACTAGCATAACCACAGGGTCAGAAACAATTAGATAAAGTATAACTTGCCAACAAATGATGTTAATATTAAGAGAATCTAATTTAAGAATATGTAAAATTGAGAATATCAAAATTTATGAATGATCTGGCTAATGGGTCATGTGAAGTTAAAGAACTGTGAACTGAAGAAGATAATAGGTCTTATACTACAAAACCAGTAATCTGAAATGTTATATGACAGACTTAATAAAGTATGAGTTATCTTACAGTTCAGTGACATACAGGAGCCACATGCCATTTGATGATCTTCACAGAATAATAACTCTGGTCTTTAAAAAATATGACAGGTCCTAAAGGTGTCTAAGAACCTTCAGAATAGTCAAGGAAAGTAAAGATAAAAAAAAAAAAAAACAAATAGAAAGTGTTGTAATAATAACTATTTTTAGTTTACATTTTCATGAAATTATATTGACATTTTGATAAAGTAATACATTAGTACTAGCCATTAGTAGTAATATATATAATGCATATTTACAGCTTAGATAACAAAAACTGACTAACCAAACTACTATTTAAGCATTAATTGATGAACTTCAAGAAAAAAAATTTTTTACAAATATAAATGAAATAATTTTGACTCTGTTACTCATTTGTTTTTTGTATATAATAACTCAATATCTCTTAGCTATTAATATTCTATAATAATTCTTATAAATTGTATTTACAAAACTAATAAATTTAAATGTTATTATTAAATATTATAAATATAACCAGTTTTAATATCATTTTTTTTTCTAATTTGTTTTATAAAAAAAAAAAAAAAAGATAATTATAAATAAGTTTTAACAAATATTATAAGAATGTTTAATAAAAAAAAACCAAACATTATTATAACTAACAGAAAACAAATACTTATAAATATTTTTAAAATAATTTTATCCAATTTAACAAATCTATTTTGTACATTGCATATTAGCAAGAATATTTTAAAAAATTGTAAACTACAGTTTTTAAAAAAAATAGAAAAAGGTAGTAAATAAGAAAGTTTTTTACAAAATGAAATAATATAGTTTTAATATACATTAAACTCTTCTTACCAATTACCAAAACACAAAAATTTGCAGAAACAAAACCAAAATTTATAGAAAAACTAGTATTAAAACAATATTTAAAGGCTTAATAAAACAAAAAGAGCTTCTGAAATAAACTTAACAGATGTACTAATAAAAAAACTAAACAGCAAATAAAAAAGTAATAAACTTAATAAATAAGCATTAAAAAATAAAATTTTGAGAAAATAGTATAGATCTAAAATCACAAATCTGTTTAAAACATGTGAATATATAAAGAAAACAAAC